ATGGCAGTCAAAAGTTTTCCACTTCTGCGCACGGAACCATCCTCCCAGTCCAAAAATGAACTGGCGATGTTAAAAATAAATATTTCCAAAGCACTTTTTATTTTCGGTGCAACTGACCTAAAAATAATAAATGACGTTATAGTTGTGCACAGCGCTCATTGTTTCACCTTAAAAAATATTCTGATAGCCAAATTTCTTTATGTACTCTTGTACAGACAAAACAGTGTTCTCTGACAATAGTTCTCCATTTAACCTAGTGGTTGGCTTTATGCTTTTATTTGATTACTTCTTAAATAACATTTATTTCTGACTTTTATTTTATAAATACAAAAAACAATTATTTTTGATTTTTATCTAAATAATCTACAAATAACAGTTACTTTTTATATTGTATGTCTTAGATAACTATTATTGAAGAATTTTATTTATGAAAGTCATCAATTAAATGACTTTTATACGTATGACTTAAAAAATAAAAGTCAGTAACGGATTTATATTTATGTCTTTTAAAAGTTAAAATCACTGACTGAAATATCTAAGAAGCATAATATACAAATCAAAAATAACTGTTACTTGCAGATTATTTAGATAAAAATCAAAAATAATTGTTATTTTGGATTTATAAAATAAAAATCAAAAACAATTTTAATTTTCTTGTAATATTGCATAAAACTTGCAACAAAATTTATCTTCAAATTTGATTCTAGGTGAAAAAAATATCGATTGGTATGTATCTTTTAGTTGTAGAGCATTTTCTTCAAAGTGAANAGAGCATTTTCTTCAAAGTGAATTTTTCGATAACAGTTTTCAACAATAACTGTTATGTTCGGTCCCTGCTTTTTGTAAGTCTACATGAATTACGAGTAACTATAAGCATATTGTTGGGTGTCAAAGAGCTTAATTGTTCGCCTCTCAACATATATACTATTTAGTCGTACCTAATCCTTGTAAATGCAGGGCAGAGATACAAAAAGTATTCCGCCGTTTCCTCCTCTTCAAAGCAGCCAGAGGAAATGGAGAAGCCCTAAATGCCACGAACATTCAGATGTTTATGCCACTAGAAGTAACCAGTCAATAGTGTCACAAGTTTCGGACAATACCATATGCTCACTGAAAGTCAAGTGCTAGTTAGAAACTTAACGATTGAGGGCAAAATAATTTCATTCTACCTTCGATAGCCGAGTAAAACAAGTTCGCTACGTTTTCCAACGTAATTTGGTCGAGACTTGCACAATCGAACTACTTTGGAAGTCTGTAGTGCTGTGGCCAATACCTTGAGGGGTGTTGTCTAGAAATCTTTATCGACTGAAAATGTATGACCACTTAGTAGCATACCAACATCCATTTCTTGAAAGTCTGCAGGAAGCCTCCTATAAGGTCTCCCTACTTACAAAGTTTCAAAGTGATGGTAATTGGCAGAACATCAACAGCAGCGTCATGCTTTGTAGGAAAGGCTCCGGGTACAGTACACGGCGACTGTCGTTCGACGTTTCGCATGCAGACTACTTATACTATTTATTAATTGGAAGTCTATGCTTCACCATACCAGTGGTGCATAATTCACTAAATTTTAAAATAAAATTTGTAAGAAGCTATACAACACTTTTGATATTGATTCGTATTTTTTTTTGTTCTTCAAGGAAAATCCTCAAGTTGTAATGGCGTGTATGCGTGCTGTCGATGCTAAAACAATTTCAGTGCAACAGTGGAACTCCTATTCGGGCATTCTGAGTTTTCCTTCAGCGCCGACCATAGATGGCGCCTTTTTACCCGATGATCCCATGAAAATGATGGAGACTGCTGATATGCGCGGTTATGACATACTAGTGGGAAATGTCAAAGATGAAGGTAAGCACATTTACATATTTATCACATCGACCCCTAACCGCCAAAAATATGTGAGCGAAATATTTTTTGACATTTTATTTTTGATGCAGAAATACCTCTGGAGCATCTTGATGCGTTTCGGCATCAAAAATAACATTTTGGAATAAAAGTCGCTTACCTTGTTTTGGCGGTTAGGGCTCGACATTATCAAAAGTACGGTAAATCTCAATACCTCAAAGGCAGAGATCATGGAAAGTACAAAAGAATTTAGTTAAGCAGTGAGGTGCTTAAACTAAAACAATATTTATAAATCCTGGCTAAATTTAAAAAATCTTAAAAATTGATTCGTGTTCGAACGAGTGCCATGTCCTTTGCGCCATATTGTTCATAGCTTTATGATACTTGCTGATGGGGCAGCTGCGTGTGCTAATAAAAATTAAATTAAATTGTATTTTAATGCAGCGAATTATCTGACAGTAAAGATGGTAGGAAGGCGAAGAGTATGGGAGTAAAGTAGAATATCCTTATATATTTTAAAGATAAAGCTTGCACGATAAGGGATCGTAAAAAAAAATAAATAAAAAAATATTGAAACAAAAATTTAACTTTCCCGCAGCGTACTCTACTAAAATAGCAAAATGTATAGCAAAAGTGCATCTATTAAAGCTACAGACTTCCGGACTTAATATCCGCGCCATAAAAGTGCCCCACAAAAAGCCGCAAGTAACAAAAACGCGTAATGCCACAATGGAGTTGGTGTTGCTACAAAGTGTGTGGCAGATGCTAGTAGTAAGTGCGCTTACAGACACTTCAGCCACGCTCACATTCATACTCGCCTACGAAAAGTTGCAACAATCAGCCTTCCGCCGCCTGCACTTCATTCACTTTGCATGCGCGCGACACAGTTGCCAGTTGCAAGTGGCAACAAACCATATAAATATATATCTGTATGTACATAAATGTACATTCGTATATTCTTCAGTTGCTCCATTTTCCAAAATTACTCTGTTTCCCATTTGGTCGGAGCAAAAGTGGCGGCGAAATAGGTGAAGTATAGTTGTGCAAAAATTGCAGGCGGCGAAAACGTAAGGTCGGTAAGGCAGATGAAAAAAGTGCACTGCTGCTGGAATGCATTGTTGTAAGTTTTACTCTGACGTCAGAGTTGCCCCAGAAAAACGGGGCGGCGCGCTGGGTAGTGCACTTTTAAGCCCCAACTAAATTGCTAAAGTAAGAGAAAAAGGAGAACACAAAAAAAAATATACATATATAAAAAAATTGGCTATAAAATAAGCTTGCCGCTGATAGCTTCTCTGCTTGACTGGTTGACAAGCTAGCGAGGCAGCCGCGTTATTGTTGTCCTCTTTCTGCAACTATCGTCTTTGTCCACCGTCGTCCCCTCACCACCAATGGGTTCACTTGCAGTTTTTGAACGAACTCATTTTTTGTGATATTTTCGTGATGTGATATTTTCGTAGTTTATAGCAGGCACACACAGTATAAAAATTCTACCATTGTACCGTGAGGAAGAAGTGTGGGAAAAGCTGCAGCGAAATGAAATCAATTTATATATATTGGCGCCACTCACTACTTTACAGAAATAAAAAAAGTTTCACTCGAAAAACACATGTGGTCCTCACCAGAGGCGGCCGAAGGATTTCTATTCAGGGGGGTTCTATGTAAAGTCAGCAAAAAGTTTCCATCAGCTCTAGATTTTGAAAGAGAAAAAATGAGGTCAAAGTGTCAAAAAATGGCGGTTGATAGAACTTTTCCGGCTTAAATTAAAGCTAGAACTCTCGACTGCTATCTCTCACATTGACTTGATGGTCACTTAGTCATTTGTTATGTACTTTCATTTGTTTTTATTTAATTTTAGAAAAAATGAGGAAGAAGAGTAATTGCTTTAACTTATTAAATGGTTTGAGTTTACCTTTTTAAACAGGTGGCACCCTGGTTAATATTCTAAATATTCAAACTAAGGATATCTTACCACCTTCGTTTCACGTCATATTTTAACATATCATTTAGCTTATGCTTACTTTAATTGAATTCTAATTCTAAAACATATGGCAACCCTATTCAAAGTATTTTAAAACCAAAACCTGGTTAAACCTTTTTTGACTATCACAAATATTGCGATACAAATTTAAATTGTGTATATTCAGAAGAAAATATTTTTAACCAATGTCAATTTATAGCCATACTTTAATAATACATTTGATTTATTAAATAATTTGAGTTTAACTTTTACACAGGTGGAAACCCTCTTTAATTTTATAAATTCTCAAACTAAATATTTCTCAATACTCCTTTGTTTGACACCCATATTCAATATTTTATATAATTAAATTTAATTCGACTTTTCAAACAGATGGCAATANAGATGGCAATCCGGCTTAAATTATTTTTAAACCAAAACCTCGTTAAACCTTTTTGTCTGGCACTTGTATTGTGATACATATTTAAAATTCATATTTAAATTATCTAATCCTCTTAATTTAATTTGAATTTAATTATAAAATCAGGTAGCAACACTCCTACATGCAGTTTGGAAATAGCGTTTCTTCAAAGTAATTTTGCTTTATATTCACATTGAACTAATTTATTGAACTTATTGCTTATACTGAATCTTACTTTGTAAAAAGGTGGCAACCCTCTGCAAAATATTTTCAAGCCACAACCTCTTTCGTCTGACATCCATATCAGCATAAACATTTCAGTTTTCTGCCTTTATTTAAGCCGAACTTGCATTTTGAAACAGGCGGCAACCCTCCTACGTACAATTAAGAAATGAAGCCTTGTCAAACCCATTTCTATCGATACTAATAGTGAGATAGTGATTTAACTTAAAAATAATTTGAATTAAATTTGTTTATCAGATGGCAACTCTCAATTTGTAAAATATACAAACGGTACAGATCTGATATGACGAAAGTTTTCGCGTATTATGCATTCATATGTATGTGTATATATATATATGGATTTACAATGTACATATCTATAATATGTATGTAGATACATATGTAGGTACATGGGTAAAAATTATAACTACAACATTTGAGCATAGCCTCCATATCGAAATGTAAAAGCTGTGACAGACGGCAAAGCTTATGTATATAATCTGGCACACATATGCGCATAATAATTTTACCCTTACAGACGGCAGTAATGCGGATAAACGAGCCGCATGGTTGTGGATTCGAGTCCCACGGCTAGTAGAATTTTCATTTATTTCGTTTTCATTCTTGTTTTTATAAGTTTTATTTTTTTCACATTACTTTCAGCTAGATGTTGTTGACTTTTTAATAAAATTCAACTTTAAAAATTTAGATTAACTGATATTAAAATAAGAAAATGATATAAAATAAAGCAAATGAAAATGAAATAAAGCAAAATTGAATATAAAAATCAAATAAAATAAAAAAATATATATTAAATAAATAATAAAAACAAAAAAAATTTACGCAATCGCTCCGACCGAGGATCGAAACTGGCATCTACAGGCAACTCTCACCACTCGGCTCCCGCGTATACGAAACTCGCCTGCTTTGTTTGCTTACTTGTACAAAAGACAAAATCTGGCCGTTTTTACCAGTGTTGTCATCGGAAATTCCCCGGATCCGAGTTAATTCCCAAAAATTTAGTGCATTTGTTCGGCTGCTTATGCGCATTTTAAAGAGGAAAATGCATGAGCTAAAGCAAACAAAGGCTGTTTGTGCAAATAATCGAGCCCGTTTGTCAACCGTATAATGGTTACTTACAGCAAGACCACTAACAACGACTACAATACGCTATTCGTTTTACACAATAAGCCACACTTGTTGATTTTTTAGGTAATATTTTGATGTCGGCTGAAGCGTATGTTATGGTCGAAAAAGTCATCGGGCCATATTTCTTCGAAAACGATTTCTGGTGCTTTTTACAGCACAATGATTGACAACTTTTTGCGGCAAACGGCAGAGTAGCATCCTAATTTGTGGTTGCAACAAGATGGAGTGACTGTAGGTGTTCTGGGCAAACCACATACGAAGAATCTACGAAAACCAACACGAATACGAATACACATAGGAAGACGAATAAGGAGATGCTAACGAACGTAAATACGAAGGCTTATATTGTCACAATTATGAATACAAACATGCATATGAAGATGAATACGAAAACAAAGATGAGCACGAGGCTGAGGTATAAGCTTTACAATGACATGTTCATATGGGGTATTCACAACGTCATCGAAAAAGTCGTATTCTTATACATCTTAAACTTTAAATGGCTACAAATATTCCCTGCATAACGCTGTTAGTTGGTTGTGGTTTCAAGTTCTCTAAACATTTATTTAGGCTTTCAAAATGTTTGTCATACAACGATATATCACTTACAACACCATGGTAACAGAGAAAGAGGTAGGCCCCCACTGCGATGGAAAGACAAAGTGCGGAAGGACTGGCTTTACTTGGCATTTCCAATTGGCATCAATTGGCACAGAAGAGAAACGACTGGCGTTCTCTGTTGAACTCGGCCAAAACCGCTTATGAAAAGTTGTACTCAACGCATAGCTATCTGTCGTTCTTTAGAACATCTCCGAAAACAAGAATCTAAACACGATTTATAAATGAAAATANCGCTTATAGCGCCAAATAATAAAAAGAAGAAAAGTTGTACTCAACGCATAGCTATCTGTCGTTCTTTAGAACATCTCCGAAAACAAGAATCTAAACACGATTTATAAATGAAAATACTCGTAGTATAACCGAGTTTTGATAAAAAAGTTGTTTTGTGGATCCCACGTGCGACTGAAGCGAAACTTCTTCCTATTACCAGTGATAGAACTTTTTAGAAAAGTATCGATACTAGTACTCATATGGAATACTCTAAAAAAGTACCGATGCTAGTACTCATATTTGCAAAAAAGTATCGATAATACTCGTACTTCCAAGTATTCTCAAAGCAAACGCAAAAAGTAAACAAAAATCAGTTTGCTGTGCTTTTTTCTCCTCTTCCTATTTGTAAATTGTAAAGGAGTT